CTGGCCGAAGGGAGGGGCACTCTGCTTGTGGATGCGAGCACAGTTCCTACATGGGGCCTGGTTAAGGAGGAAGTGCTGTCCTTCCCAGGCCTGCCCGCTCAGGCTGCACAACACAAACGCCAGGATGATGCCTCATTTCCAAGGGTGTAGCCAAGGTCACCCAGGAAACCAGGAACACGGGAAATCTCCTTAAACTCTTGACGACAAAGATACTGGTGGATGCATATGCATAAACCCAAATCTGGGTTCGATTCTGAGGTTTGGTCTGGGGACTGATTTTTAGGTAAAACGCAAGTCATTTAACAGTGTTCTTACTCAGCATGTGCTGTAAAGAACATTCTAGAAGCTGAAGCATTAGGATTACATGTGCTCTGAGGCCAGACACTTTCTAACCCATGCAGACATGGAGTCCACAGGGGCTCTGACTTCTCCACTGGGAACAGAGACTCCAGACAAGTGGGACGGAAAAAACCTAGGCACGGTGTTTAGGCAGAGACAAGAGCTAACTGAGTCATGGTCTCACCTCAAAAAACAGTTTTTTGAGCTGATTCCGACTCTCAGTGACCCTGCAGGGTGGGGTGGAACTGCCCCTGTGGGTTTCTGAGGTAGTAAAATAGGAGTAGAAAGCCTCACCTTTCTCCCACAGAGCAGCGGGCAGTTTCAAACTGCTGAGCTTGTGGTTAGCAGCCCAAAGTGTAACCACTGGCTCCCTAGAGCCCCGGTGCTGCTGCGGTTACCTCGCCCCAAGGTGGGTCAAAACACGGCACTCGGGTGACGGCATTCACATCTTCAACACGTTCACATGCTTCTTCATGACCAGGTGGCAAGTTAAACACGAATCAGAGTCCATTTCTCAAAAATAGGGACCTTTATTGGGAGTAACGATCTTTTTTTACCGGGGGCTGTGGAAGTATAGACGCTGTTAGCTCAGTAAAATGGACCTGTGATACTGGTGCGAAGGGGTCAGCGTTGTTGTCTTGCTACAACATTCTCTGGGCCCCTTGGCAGAGGGCGGCCGGCCAGAGTCCGTTTTTACTTTTTCTCTTCTCAACGAGGCAACTGAGAGTCGAAACTCTTTAGGGAGGGGAAGTAACCGCAGGGTCTGAATATTAAAAAGCAAGAGGAGGGTTAGCCTATGACAGAGTGCTTCGTCCAAGTCCGTGCCTGGGCGACAGCCACGTGGAGGCTCCGTGGGGCAGGGCCGGTGCGGCATCCTCAGCGCTTAGTCTTCGGGTTCGTATCTACAAAGAGATGCGTCCTCAGTGCACAACATTGTTCATGGAAACAGATGGCCCTGACTTCAAACACCTCCACTGTCCACTTGGTAGCACTATCTTTTCAGTTAGAATCCCTGGGGGGAGGGGGTAGAAGTCAGACACATTCAAGGCATTCGGATGGTGCCTGGGGGACTCCCCTAACAGTGGGGAGGGTGGCCAGTGGCTGCCAGGGAATCACACACACACACACACACACACACACACACCCACACCCATCTTCCTATGAGGCCCTCAGATCCATGAGTACAGAGGGGGCCTGGTTAGTAACCCCCTCACTCGGGTCCACTCAACAAGCTGGGGTGATGTGAATAAAAGGTGAACAGTCCTCCTTCTACAAGGACAAACATGTCCTTGGATTCACTTTCTAGCTCCTTTTCCCAGGGATCCTGAAGAGTATGAAATGTCAGTTGAGTCAGGAAGCTATGTTGCTGATGGCCAAAATGAGCCCCCTGGTGAGCTGCACGTGGCCTGGGGAGATGCATGGCTAAGCCAGGAGGCTATGGCGGGCATCAGGGTGGACTTCATTCTGTGGGGGCTGCCACGAGGATCCCTACAGAGCACTGCCCGCTGCTGGCTGGTTCCCACGCTTAAGCGCGCATGCAGTGTTCTGCAGGTGAAGCAGGGAGAGTCTGCAGGGCCAGTCGGACCATGTGCCCAGCCCTGGGGACAATGGTGTGAAAGCCAGGCCGAGGCTTTTGGACTCCGTCCTCGGTTCCCAACTCATTTGGCCCGCCACCCCATTTCCAGAAAGAAAAAAAAGTTACTCCGTGTCCCCCTGGCTCCTAAAGATGTTTTTACCGTGGCCCCAGTCAGGATAAAATGTACTCTCTGCATTTGTTGCCCCTGGGGTCCTTCCAGCACCCCTGCCGAGGCAGCCCCACTGGGAACACTGGGCACAGAGCCCCTGGAAGGGGCTGCAGGGGCAGCGGGACTCACTTGGCTAGTCTCTTCCTGAGCTCCTTGATCTGGTCGTTCTTCTTGGTGAGAATCTCTTTCATGTTTCGGTAGGCGGCTGTTTGCTGGAATTTCCTTTCCAGTTCCTGTGGAGGGGAGGGGCAGCCTGTTACTGAAGGCGGGCCAACTCTGAGAACGGCCCAGGGGCTAGTTCTAGTTTACAAAGGGTTTGCTTCCGCTATTTCCTAATTGCTTTAAAAGACACTTTGTATCGAGTGCTCTCCAAACTTGAAAATATGATTTCCAATGAAAAGTATGAAAGTGGCAAACCTCTCGCCCCCCAGTATAGTATCATGAACGCCCTCAAACCAAACACAGTGCTCTAGGCCGTGGGGACTGCTGTGCCACTGATGTGCAACATGGAACTAACTGCCAGTACATAAGCGTCATCTTTCTCCAGAGCCCGGGTGGCGCTGGTCGTTTTGGAGCCAGGTGAACTTTAACCTCCATATTCTTCAGAGGCAAGAAGCGTCTACCCCTTGCAGTGGAGACCCCAGCTCCCTCTGCAGCCCACGGGAAGGTGGCAGAGCCACCTCGGCCAGCTCCAGGAGAAAGCAGCAGGAGGGCCTCGACCCGCAGGGTGGGCGGGGCTGGGGTGCTGGGGCGTCCAGGCACAGGAGGAGCAGAACGTCCTTGCCATCATCTTATCACCGTGGTGCCCACGGCAGGGACGCACACTCCTGAGGACGTGCACTGGTCACTCCTAACGCCTCATCTGAATGTGCGGCTTCAGTGCTGACCCTAACGGCCCGCGCCCTCTGGCCTTGGGCCCTAACGGACACCCCCACCCCCGCCCCCAGACCTTTTCAGCCAAGTGCAGCTGCTCCTGGACCCGGAGAAGGTCGTGCTTGGCTGTCGCCAGGTTCTCCTCCAGGGACTTCTGGCTTTCCGTCTTGTCACTGAGTGTCCTCTGAAACTCACACTTCAGAGCAGCGACTGTGCTTTCCAACTCACTCACGTCCTGGGCCTTGATTAAATCCTATGAGAGCGAGAGAGCGAGAGAGAGAGAGAGAGAAGCCCACCAGTAATTTCAGGCGGACCTCCCAAATGACAGCAGATTTACAATAGTGGGGAGGTGTCACAGGAGATGCAAACACGCATGCTGGGTGACTCGTGGAGCGCGCCAGCTAACCACCCCCCCAAGGTCGTCACTGCGCCCCGCCCACCACAGCATCCAGGGCATGGTATCTCAGCCTGGCGGCCACTCAGCAATAACCCGGTTCCCAATACATGAAATGTGGCTTATGAGCTGTGGACAATTCCACCCTATGGGAGTGGGAGAGGGGTAAAACTCTGAGCTTGGCAAGGCTGTGTGTCCCGGGATGGGCTGGCAAACAGGCTGCATTTGCAAAGTCAAGGGGGTAAAATCCTGTTGAAAAATTCAGAACGATGCAGACGTAAAAAATAATGAGGTTCATACACACCGTATTAAAATTTTAATAGCTATATGCGTTGTTTTTAATTGTACATAAAATTGCCAGATGTGTACTTGAAGCAGAATGATCAGCATGAGAAAGGGAAGTAAAAGCAGCGCTATCCTTTAGGACTCCACGTCACCACGATGTAAAAGACGGGGTCGGTTTTGCTTTTGTGATCCAAATCTTCAGGCGGAAACTGAGCGCAGCCCAAACTGGCCTTCAAAGAAATCATCATCTAAAAACGGTCGCTGCTCTTCTAGTTCGAAGAAACTCTTAGAACCGCTCCGAACATCTGGCTCTCGGTTTCACGGATCTGGCCCTTGGTACATATGGTTGACAATCTTGCCTGTGGAATGTCCTCTTTGGCCACCTACGCAAGGTCTCATGTTAAAACAGGACAAAACGAATGGCTGAGATTTGATGGGCGGGAGGGAGGGACGAAACAAGACCAGCACTGACGATTGTTGACGCTGAACGAGGAGGACATGGGAGGAGGGCTGTTAATATCTCATCTCTCCTGGGTTGACGTCTGCCCTTTTCCACATAGGATTGGACAGACTCTCAGGAAGGAGGGTTGGAGGCTGTGTGGCCTCCGTGAGTGCTGCCATGCAGCGCGTGGCAACACTACCAAAGCAGAAGCCAGTGCTGACCACATGCCCCCCTCGCAGGAAACCACACCCCAGCACCCAGGCCACCAGCAGAAAGGCCGCAGGAGGGAAGAGTGGGCACACAGTGAGCCCAGAAGGTGGAGAGATGCTGGGCCCCGTGGCCAGCCGCTGCACAACCACGCCCAGTTCACTGGGATCCTGATGGCCTGAGGGTGGTCTGTCCCTGATTCCATTGTTACCTGGGATGTCAGAGGAAAGGGGGGAGAGCTTCAAAGAGAACAACAACGAAACGACCTTGTGTGCTGACCGGCGGGCAGGTGACCTGTCCAAGAGGAGGGCCAGAGAGGAAACTGCAGTGGTTCTCACTAGCCCTTAGCAGGTGGCCGTGGTGGGGGTGGGGTGCATAACAAACAATAACCGCAACGTAACTTTACGTTTACAAATGTGCTCTATCTAGAAAATGTATGAGGGCGAGAGAGCTGACACTTGGGCTTCACCTGTTGGACTTCTTGGTCGATGTGTGCGTCTCGCAGCGCTCGCTCGAGCTTTGACTTCGCATCCAGCGCACTCGTGGCCTGGAACCAGGTGGGAGCAAAACCACGGTCAGGAGTTCATCTGCGGCAAAGTGCCCGGCACTCAGCCAAGGGCTCCTCACTTACCTGTATCTCGACGGTCTTCAGCCTGGACTTCAATTTCTCATTCTCTTCTTGCAGCCTTAAGATTTCCTATGTGAGGACATTCAAGGGTTATTTTAGGAGTCTAACCAAATAATTCTCAATGTGTGACACTACCACTTGTTTTGTTTAAAAATCTGCTTTTATAAATGACGTAGTAGCTTAGAAGGGGGCAAGCCCAGGCCGTTGGCGCTAACCCCGTTCCACCCGCCCTACCAGCCTCAAGCTACCCTTGGTTTTAGATTTCTAGAACCTTCTGTCACTGTCTCTCAAACACCCCTTTCCTCCTTCAGCCCTCTGAAGTCAGCCTTGCCCCACACATTCTTCCCATCTCTCGTGCCTGTAGTGCACACCAGGGCTGTGTTTCCTTACACACCATTCTCCCCACCTCAGCACTCCCCTCAAGCCTCCCCCTGCATTCCACAAACACACCGGCCCTGCCGGAGCCCTGCACACAGGCCCACCACACCCAGCCTCCTCTGTCCTCAGGGTCTACTCCCTTCTACATGGAAACGTGTCTTCTCCGTAGCCTGACACCGGTGACCCACCGGCGAGTGCTCCCGTCTCTAAGTCCTCTGGGGACATTGCTTCTACCTTCCCAACCAGTCTGCAAGTTCTCCTGAGGGCAGTGGACCAGCATTAGACAGAGCTTTAGCTCTACCAGCACTCAGCACAATGTCAAGAACATAGGAAGCATTAAGGACGTTTACTTGTATGTTGATAATTTTTATACAACTTTTATTCTTTAAAAGAGCCCGTCATCACTATCACAGATTGAACGCTTCAGATATCAATCAGTGAATACTGTCTAAAAGCCCACGGTCTTCACTTTAATGGGAGAGAGGAAAAAACCCGAGGGCTCTTTTCAGTCTCTCTGGGAGACGAGGACGCCCTCTGCTGGCCAACTCCAAAACCACACTCACTGTGCCCCAGTGGGTTCTGACTCAGGGTGACCCTACTACATAGCACGAAAGCTGCAAAAGACAGGTTTGCCCTCTGCACAGCGGGAAAGGAACCAACTGCCCCCACCTCACCCCCCCACCCCGGTTCCCTCAGGCAAGAGGGTGTTGCCCTCTTCAAAAGGCTGAGAACGTACCTTGTTGAGGAGCTCCGCTGTGCCGGTTTCATTCAGCGGAGCGAGTTTGGGCTTCATGATGTCTGCGATGGGCTAAAGCAATAGGAAGGACCCACTGAGACCACCATGGGCGGGCCACTGCATGTGCCCTCCCCTTGCACGCACTCACGCGGGTAAGTCACTGTGTAAGCCCCACTGCGGGGCTCTGAGCGCACAGGGTTTCTGCTGCCTTGGTTCTCCATACGCCCCGAGCCCGGCCCAAGTGCCCAGCGCTCAGGATAAAAGCAAAACCGGCCTTCCCTGTGTATTTCCTAACGTCCACGTGGGAGAAGGGAGCAAGGCAGCCCACGATGGAGGCTCCAGGGGGTGGTACCCACCCCCCCCCGGGGAGGTGGGGGTGAGAGGCGCTGCTGCTAAGGCAGATACCTGTACTTTATCCTGGATTATGGGGTACTGCATCAAAGTTTTTCATTTCCAGGTGGGCGTGTATAATTTTTTTTGCTGAAAGGAGGGTGGTAGGCCAGTAAGTTTGGGACCCCATGCTCTAGCCTACAGGGACTGGGATTTTAAGGGCGGTGGGAGCAGAAGCAGGAGGTCTCTGGGGAAAACTCTGTAATCCTGGCGACGTAGACAACTGTGTGAAAGCGAAGGACAACTTGGTATCACTACACTGGCAGTTTCGCATGGAAGCACTGGCCTCCACGGCCCTGGTCCGCCTGTCTCACAGGAGCAATCGGGGAACGGTCTCCTCTGCGTCCGGAGGACGGGCTCGTGGCTGCACCATCCTCCTATACCACAGCAGGGAGCGCCACGGCACAGCCTCACACGGGAACGTTAAAAAATGGACTCTCATTCTCATCTCCAAAGCTTTCTTTTTCCCTGAAGATCTGATGGCAAGTTCTGAGTTCCAGGCCTGAGGGGAGTGCCTTCCCCTTGGAGCGGCTCACTCTGACCTCTCGGTGCTTTGAGTGCCTTGAGGGGTTTAAGTCCTGTGTGGCCCGAGAATGACCGAACAGTACCTTTTTGTTCGAAGATGTCAACTCTGCCTTTTCAAATTCCGCAACTTGCTCTAATAGCTCTCTACAAGATAAACGCAAACATGGACATGCATTTGTAAGTATAAAGTACCTGCTATGTGACGTGCCAGAGACCGGGACAAGATGGGCATGGCAAGGGCAGTTACGTATGATCAAGAATTCGTGGGCTCAACTCTGCATCCTCTTTAGTGCCTTGGATTTGTACTTAGGGAGTGAACGTAGCAGAGAGCTAGCATTAAACTGCAGTGTTGATACTGCTTCACTCCAAGCACACAAGCAAGCCTGGAGTCACCCCGGCCTCTCCGAGGTGCTAGAGCAGTGGTTCTCAACCTTCCTCACGCCGCCACCCTTTCATACAGTTCCTCATGTTGTGGTGACCCCCCCAACCATAACATTATTTTCGTTGCTACTTCCTGTCATTTTGCTACTGTTATGAATCGGGTGACCCCTGTGAAAGGGTCATTCAACCCCCAAGGGGATCACAGCCCACAGGTTGAGAACCGCTGTGCTAGAGAACCACTCTGCTCTTTTACACAATAGTACTGCTTACAAACAAGCTCATTTTCACAGAACAATGACGTTCGTGTACAAAGGCTACTGAAAATGGGTATCCTGTATGAGCAGGACAAGCAGGTGGTTTGAGGGTGATTTGGAAAGGTCAAAGGAGCGCTGGGTTATGGGCTCAGCTGTGGTCTGCACGATCTGCAGTTCAAAACCAGCAGCTGCCCCATAGGAGAAAGCCGGGGCTCTCTCTTTACGTAAGGTGCTAGTCTTGGAAACACACGGGGCAGTCCTAGCCTGTCCCGCGGGGTCGGCACAGGGCAAGGAGAGCTTACAGCACAGCAACTGGCAGGGACGACTCTGCTAAGCACTGGTTTCCAGGACTTTTTGTGCCAGACACGTGTCGGTTTCTAAGGCTTTCTGACAGCTGCTGGCGTGAGCAAGCTTTCAAGCACGGCCCGTGGCTGTGGTCCACGCTCACCGCTCCATACGCAGGACAACACGGCCCCAGGGCCGGCCCCAGGGCTGGGGCTGCCTGTCCTCATTTCTGGGATGCTTTTTCTCCCAGTGAGGTTGACCTTCACCAAATTATGACATTTTGAAAATGAGTAAGCTCTCTGATAGTGCTCAGGTGATCAGGTTCTACTTTAAAAATAGTTAAGTACCAACTTTAAACGCCTTGAGAAATAGACTTCTAAAATTGCTAGACTGAATTGATGGTATTTAGGTTTGAGTTCATTTTTCAACTGCTTCCTAAACTTGATTCCTTGGCCGACCAATCTCTAAAGACTCACTCCCACTAGCAAGTGGACAGAGATGCTGTCATTGACAGCCAACAGCTTGCTTGGAAAGCACTTTCATCGATCCTCAAGGTCTTTATGCTCCTAGGGCGAGGGCAGCAGACCTTGCCAGGGGGCCCTGGCAGGCGTCTGAGTGACCCCTTGGCAACCAGTGGCAGTTTTCTGTCCTCCTACAATTTTCTCACACACAGCTGCTAGCGAAAGCCACAGCAAAAGGCTTGCTAACGTTCAGAGATGATGCTGGGGCCTCTGGGGCCATAACCACAGGTACGCATTTCATTACCTGTTTTCAAGTTCAGAGATGTCTGTCTGGAGCTTGAGGTACCACTTCTCAGCCTGAGCAAAGAGCTGCCGCAGAAGGAGCACATTGGTGTGGGCGGTGTTGATGAGCTCGGACTCCACCTCGCTGTGCACCACGGCCCGCAGCCCACTCAGGACCTCGGAGACCTCGTCCACGGTGAAGGTCTCCTCCACCAGCCTGAGAAATGGCAACATCCACCAACAAAGTCAAGCACAAGGAGCAAAGCCACATGCGGCGCCTGACATAGGAAGGCACCAACGAAAGTCTGTCCAGGAATGATCTCTTTCACTAGTGGGACGCAATGAAGTCACTGAATGGCTGACCCCCAGGAGAGAAATGGGACTGGCTGTTCCTGTAAAGATTTGGCTGTGTGTCGGATGGACTTGTTAGCAGTGAATCTTACTTCGTTTCTAGTTCAAATGATTCAACTGTGGCTAATTCTTCCGTGTGTACTCTTCATCTGGCCCGTCAGTGCAGCCTCAGCGCACTCAGAGCCAGGACCTACGCCTGCCCTTCAGTTTCCAATTGCTTCCCTGCTCACTTCCCTGCACACAGCCTCCCGCTGGCTGTCCTTGGGCCCTTTCGTCACGGCACACATGATCTGCACCTGAGCAAGACTGACAACCAGAAAATCAATGGTAATTACACGTTGCTTCTCTTCACATTTTTGGAAGGCCCACTATCACAACAAAAAAACACCAACCCAAGCGCCTCTGTGATCACTCTACAGAGACGCCCCCAGCTAACTACCATGGAGCCGACCCCAGCAGGCTCCCAGAGCGGGTTTCCAAGACCAATGTACACCGTTACAGGTGCAGGCAGCCTCCTCTGTCTCCCAAGGAGGGGCTGGTGGGTCTGAATCCGCTGGCCTGTGGTTAGCAGCCTGATGCCTCACCCACAGCACCACCAGGGCTCCGGCACAGAGATGAACACAGAGCATTTACTCAGAGAGGCGTTGGAAGAAAACGCCTTCCCTCCTCTCACAACAGAGAGGGGAGCCTGAGGGGAACTGTCCCCTGGAGGGAACTCTCCCCCATCACCCCAGTGACCTCACAAGCATGCTCCGGAGCTGTGTCTGTGTCCACAGGCGAACAGCCTTGTCTGCTCCCTGCCTCCACCCTCAGAGGTCCCTGTACCTCTCTGGCTAGACTGGGATCATAATTACATGATAGAAACACATAATCAGTATGTGAGCTGCAATTCTCTAATGTTTCATCTCGCCAGCAACACGTTAGCCCTCTTTAGAAACCCAAAACTCTCCACAAATAAAAGGAAGAGAGCGAGAGGAAGCTCGCAGCCCTGGAAACCCTCCAGCTTCCTTCTGTGTCAGATCTGAACTCGGGTCTGCCCGTGACAGACGGGGGACGAGTGACACGGAAACGGACTTCGGTGCGCGTGTGGCACACGGGCTAGCTTCCACCGCATGAAACGACAGCAAAAATCCAACAAACATGCAGACTACTTTTAATGGAAGTATTTATTAAATTTACTGAGAATGGTCCTAATTTCTTGAACACATCAAATTTATTTAAACCTTTAAAAGTTTCATTTTGTTGAAAACATAAGACATCCAAGCATACCAATTCAAAAAAATTCTATGCATACCATCAGCGACGTTAATCACATTCTTCAAGTTGTGCACCTGTTTTCACCCTCTGGTTTTGGAACTGTCCCCCCTCTTCACATACACATATTCTATGCCCCCGAAATCTCCTGTCTGACCTTTTGATCAATACGGTCCCATATAGATAGTTCTTTAAAAGAGCATAGGGTTCAAGGCAAACATTTTTTACTAAGCTAATCTATCATTCAGTTTAAAGACGATTTCAGGGAGTACCGGTATTTTGGTTTAAGGGCGATATCAGGATGATTATTTTGGGGGTTCCCTGAGCTTTGATGTCTCCAGAAAGTCTGGACTCCATGATTTGAAATTATGTTCTGCACCTCTCCTTCCCCACTTTGATCAGGAACCGCCCACAGAATCTTTGGTTAAGAGTTTAGTAATGGTGGCCGGGCACCATCCAGTTCTTCCAGTCTCAGGGCAAAGGAGGCTGCTGTTCATGGAGGCGATGAGCCACCTGGTCCAAGTCCCCCTCCCTTACTAAATCTCCTTCTTCCTCTCAAAGTGAATAGAGATCAGATCACTTGTTATACCTTGGATGGCTGCTTGTAAAACTTTTGAGACCCAGGCACTATGCAATAAAATAGCAGATAGAACAGAAGCACTAAAAACAAGATTAGACCAATTGACTGGTATGTCCTATGAAATTGTAACCCTCAGTGCCCAAACTGAGAAGCCAGATTCCACGAGTGTTTGGTTGAACACTGGCATAGCAGTATCTCCTTGCTGTTGTTGTAAATTATGTATAACAATTGCCAATTCAATTTTTTACAGGTGTGCAATTACAGACATTAATTGTATTAACCAGTGAAAATTTTCCATCATCATACACAGAAACTGTGCTTTCATAAACCCTATTCTGCTGACTTAAGGCCATGATTTAAGCAGCAATTACAGCACTTTGATGGCTACAGTGACTACTGCAGTGTGCTCTCTGGCCATTCTGCAGCCTCCCCAGTTACATGGCTGCTTTCACACTCACTTCGGGCCTGGAAACCAGATGAGTAGATCTGATCCAGATTAGTGGATTAAACAGATAACCGTCTCAGGCGGGTGGCCTTCCCTACTGAGGGAAGTTCATGGCTTTTTGACAGCTGAACAAAGGCCTTTGTCACTGATGATCTTGACATTTGAATGATCCTCAAGTAATTGAGGGAGTAACTGATGCCCATCTTCCTAATGCAGTTTGCTACAGCCTCTGCTATGGTATCCCCATGCTGGCTACCAGAAAGGCCCGTGTTCCCACTTGATTTCTCTATCGTCTGCTGGTACCTGCTCTCCTTGAGGTCCTGGAAGCAGGAGTCTACCGTCTTCAGTCTCAAGCCTCTTTTTGAACGAGCAAAACGCATATAATTAATAATTTCATTTTGATGGTGGTCATTCAAGCCCAACTCCGCCTGAAAGAGAGAGAAGCAACTTGTTAGCCTTGGAGACATGATGGTGCCGGAGCCAAGGATGAGAACAGCCCATAGCAGGGCCTGCCGGAGGTTGACCGGATTCTGTTCTTTCCCTCTTCCGGGCGTGTGGTTGCTCAGCTAGATGACAGACACGGCCCAGGCTGCTTGCAGTCAGACGCAGCCCCGCCCGTGGTACTTCCCAGCAGCAGAATGCGAGAAGAGATGGGGGCCGCTTCCAAAGTTTTCACCACGTTCGAAACCCAAACGAGGTGGCCACTGGGCTGAACCAGGCAGGCCACAGCCCCCAGGGGCTCTGGGAGTGTCCTCAATATCCTCAAGGAGCAGCACGGCCCTCCTCACCTGACTGAGAAGAGCTGAGAGACGGCTGAGACACAGCTGCTGTAGGAGCCAATGTGTGTGTGCAATCGATTACAGCAACCTGACTATACCCAGCCTAATTTAGCTGTTACCCTTGGATTAGGTCTCTCCAAAGGTGTTCACACTCTAACGCCTATACCTGTGGAAATAACAGACTGCCCTGTACAATGGAATCTAATCTAATGTAATCTTATCAATGCCTCTGGGTTAATCTGAGTCGTATCGCACAGTGAGTGGGCACTTCCAGCAGTGCATGCACTTGCTGAAAGGCCTGTTACTTGAGTTTCCAATTGAAGATGTTAAATCTGACTTTATCTTGGCACACACGATCGTCTGTCCTAGGGCTAGAAGACAGAAATGGAAAGAAGAATTTTCTTAGTTTTCGGCAGACACTGATTAGTCACCTCCCCAAACTCATGGTGCCATCTGAAACAATCATAGGCAGGATCTCATTTAGTCCTCTTTAGGGTCCTAAGAAAAATGTAGTAGCATTCCTTCGGTGGAGCGCTGAGGTCCTCCTCGGCTGCTGAAGTGATTATGTTAGAACTGGGATTAGAATCATGCAATTTAATTGCAGAGCCCCTTTAAAAAATGGCAGAAATTAAATAAACAGAACACATACATGTTTTGTTTTTCAGAACATATATGCATGTGATAGGAGCCTTGGAGTTACTGTGGGCTAAGCCTTAGGTCGCTAACCACAGGTCATCAGTTCAAACCCACCAGCAGCCACTCTGCAAGAGAAAGATACGGCTGTTTGTTCCCACAAAGATGTATAGTTTCAGAAATCCTACCTAGGGTCGCTATGAGCCAGAGTGGACTTAAGGGCAGTGGGTTCTATATGTTATAGTCACCAAAGTGTCTGAATCAACAAATTTCAAAAAAAAAAAAAATACCCAAATTTCTCTAGGTATTACAAGCTAAATATGATATCATTAGAGATGTTCTCTCTCAGAGGCCCATTAGTATGAATGAGGATCTTCCAGGGTCTACAAACAACTCAAAACAATGTCCTAACCCGCTGGACCAGCGAACACACACTGGTAGAGAGAAGAGCTCTCATCACATGGAATCCAGGAAAAGTAGTGGCAGTAGCAATATCATGAGGGTAGGGGGACTACAGGGGGCAGGGAACAAAACACAAGGTTGAAATATATTGCCCCCCCACCCCCTAGGGGGATGAATTAACAGAAATATGGGTGAAGAGAGATAACAAATGGTAAGATATGAAATAATAATAATATATAATTGGTCAAGGATTCATGAGGGCGGGAGGGTGGGGGAGGGAGGGGAATAAGAGGGGCTGATACCAAGGGCTCAAGTAAAAAGAAAAGGTTTTGGACATGTTGACAGAAACATACATACAAGTGTGCTTCATGCAACTGAAGGATGGGTTGTCATAAGATTTGTAAGAGCCCCCAATAAGATGATTAATAAAAAAGTCATAGCATTCTAAAAAATATAAGCTATAGACACAAATTCTCAACCACTCCTCATTATGTATGGCATTCAAACTACAATCTCTGGCTCTTAAATGTCCCAAACTTCCTCCAAGCCTAGTGCCTGGGATTGTACTGGATGAACGCTCTGCTGCAGTCAAACTAGCCTGCTTCTCGGATCCCTGGCGGTGGAGCTGGTTAGGGATGTACCGGGCTGCCAAGCCCATCAGCTTGGAAGCCCCATGTGAAATCACCTGCCTTTGACTTTCACTTGTCCTGATGCTTGTACACAGATGCCTCTCCGTTTCCACCTGGGGAGGGGGGAGGGGAGCGTGCTGGCAAATGGCTCCTAGCCGGCTCTCTGAGGGGGTGGGAGACGGAGCTCTGCTTGGTAGTGCTTGTTCACTGGCGGGGTGTGACCATCCTCATCAGTGACGTGACTGGATGCAGAGCTGAGACGAGGTGCTCACAGCGGACTCTCACCAGCCGGCACTGGCACGCTCCAGCACGCCACTGAGTCCGGCCATGGCCTTCAAGGCCTACCCAGTGCTGCCTGCTGTGAAGCTGCCCAACCACCTCAGAACCCTGCCAGCCAGGCCTTCCATCACAATCATTGACCTCTGCTGCTTATGGGCACCGTCAGCAGCCACTGATGTCCCCTTTGTCCCAGCAGCCAACTGCTCTCTTTCCCTGGACGCTGGGGCACCACTGGGTTGGAGGGTATCAGGAATTTCCACCACTGCCCAGAGCCCAGCTCGGGGCCTTGTGCATAGCAGGTAGCCAAATCCCACCGGTTATTTATTTCCTTTTGCCATGGAGCGTTAAGGATGGTCTAGGATGGTTAAGGGCGGGTGGTGGTGGGGAGCCCACAAAAACTCAAACTGAGAAGGATGGCATTGAGGATAAAGGCAGAAAAGTCCCATTCAAATGGGTAAGGCTGCAGGGTGGGAGGAGTGCCCAGCCACGTTCCAGAGCAGAGCGCACTCGTCTACGGAAAAGGGCATTCACGAGCCAGGGACACACGGTCCAAGCCGCTAGAGAGGAAAAAGAACAGGTGGGTGTGTAAGATAATTAGACAAAGCGCTTGCTTGAAAACCAGGTGTTCCAGAACTATCTACCTGTGTGGCTCTCACCAAAGCACTTCAGGGACACCAGGTCCCTCAGCTGTTCAACGGGAGCGTGATCGTTTTGGTCAGCTAAAAAAGGTTTACAAACGAGGAGAGATGTTCAAATTGGGAAATCAGAAGTTGTTTCAATTTTGTGGCATAAATGTTGGCTGAATTTTTAAAATGGAGCTGAATACTGAGCAAGTAGTTGTATCAGAGCACTATGCACTGTGAAGGAAGGGGTGGTGGTTCCCTGCTCTGAACCGCTCATGAAGGCATATACAATTTTACCAGCAAGGAGCTACAGTGATAAAAACAAGCATAATGTAATGAATCTGTCCCATGTGGGGGGCTTAACCTTTTAACAGATACTGAGCAACTTACTGATAGAGCGGGCTTCAAAAAGTTGGAGGGAAAATTCCATTGCCTTTTAATCCTATTTTCCCACAAACTTTTTATATAAATCTTTCTCTCATTCATTGTTTAAGCAGCCCTAGTATCATTATTAGGAATGCTGGTGGCTCCCTGGCTAGATGCTTGGCTGCTGAAAGGTCAAGGGTTCAAACCCACAAGCAGCTCCTTGCGGGGCTTCCACAAGGGGGCAACCTTCGGAACTCCATGGCCCAGATCTGTTCTGTCCTATGCGGCTGCTGTGTCGTGGTGGGATCGATGGCTCATGGGTTTCTGGTTTTTAGAGTAATCATTCTTCTCTGGAATTTAGATGAGAGGAACGAGGTCAACCGTCCTAACATATTTCCCCTCCGTTTTCTTATGGTGTTTGCGGGGGAAGTCAGGAGAGTGAGTGGGGCAGGTTCAAAGCACCGGAGAGCAGGGAATGACCTGTTTTGTTCCCAGACTCTCAGCAGGGAGTCCGTGGTGCTCCTGGGAACGTGTTGCTATTGCTGCCGCTGTGCACCATCGTCCAGCTGATTTTTGACTCGCAGTTACCCCAATAAGGCACCCCAGGGTTTCCCAAGCGGTCATTTTTTCTTCACAGAGGCAGAAACACTGGGC